CATAAAATAGCATTTCATAGTAGATGTAAATCTGTCTGATTACATAAGACCATATAATCTGGCTAATAATTATGTAACATCTTCTGTATATAACTCAAAACTGTATTGTGAAAGGACAATTATGGAGATATATATGTAAATAGTATTATTAAAAAATGCAAAACAAATATAACAGCGTTTTGTTTTTCCATACCTCATTTTTCTCAGTTTTTTAATGAGCTAATGATCACAGAGACTGAACACTGATAAAGTAACCCTTACTTTTTAATCAAAACACTTTCCATGCATTTTCTCTCAGGCCTGAAAAGTATTTAATACAAATGCCTCTCAGTCATGTTTCAGCAATGTAAAATGTGTTTTTCTGCAAATGAAATCAAGTAATTTATTTTAATACAAAAGGTCCTATGGAACAGAAATGAAGTATATTTTTAGCACTACTCTTTGACCCCAAGATTCCCAAGGAGCTACTCTTCTGACTTCAGTTGCCAAATTAATATAAGTAGGAATGTAATTGTCTTTCCTTAAGGGCTTAAAAATGAAACCTGTTAGAAAACTTGGTTTATGTATGTGGAGATATCTGAAAAGAATGTTGCTATTCTCAGTAAAAATGTGATTCAATGATGAGATATGAGAATTCCCAGTTATATAGCCTCATTGATCACGTCTCTTTCAAGTCTAGGCCATACTTTCGTCTCAGCAGTAAAGCTACAGGCTAGTCAAACACTGTCTCTCCTCAGCTTACTAAGTTTAAGTCTGGAATTTAGATCTTCCCTCCCAAAGTCGAATCCCTCCTGTGCAAAGTATTTTCAATAATATTTTGCCTCACCAGTTAGGGATCTTAACCACCATGCTCAAAGTATTGCTCAAATCCCCATATTTTCTATGACATATCTCTTAGTAAAAAAAAAAAAAAGAGAAATATCATCCAGAATCTATCTTTCACAACTTTTTGCAGCTCTTTTTTGCCCAAATAACAGAAATACTTTACAGTGACTATACTGGTGTATTGCATGTTCAATTCTCAGAGTCCAACAGGTGAAGGGTAGGTGATCCATCTATTGCACTAAGGACAGTGTTATAAAATCTTTAATGAATGCTGCAGTTCAGATCTTAAATGTCCTCCAAAGGTCCATGAATAATAAAGGCTTGGTTGCCAGAGTGGTGCTATTAGAGGTGGTGGAAACTTGGAGAACTAGAGCCTACTGGGAGGTCTCCAGGTCTTTTGTGGGGATGTCCTCAAAGGGATTGTGGATGTTTGCTTCCTTTCCCTCCTGTGCTTTTCAGGCATGAGGTCAGCAGTTTTGCTTTGCCATCTGTTCCTATCATGAGGGCTCAACACAGGCCTAAAAGCAAATTGGGTCAATTGATAATGGACTAAAGCCTCCAAACTGTGAGCCAGAAGCAACCCTCTTGTCTTGGTAAGTTGACCAATGGAAAGCTTACTGACAATGAATTATTGCTTGTGAAATTGCTGCTCTATTAAGAACTTTTATCATGTCTGACTTAATTAGTATTCTTATTTGGCGAGCTGCTAATGCAATCAAGATTTTATATTCTATCATTTTACATAAAAGTGAAAACTTAGTCTTCAGCCAACCATATTATTCCATAATTACTCTAGCTGCATAAAGCAGCCAGCCACCTCCCATGCATGAAACCAAGAAAGCACACACACACACACACACATAAAAAAAATAACACATATCTTCCCCATTTTCAAGTCTATTCACATTTTCAGGTACATTCTAATGTCAAAGAAGGCATCTTTTCCCTCATACTACATGAAAGGGATAGAAATTAGGAAGGATGGAAGTGAGTAATGTGAGTGAAAATAGAAACTGGAGCAGGCTTCAGTTTTAAAAACATGCTCATAGGTTCATATTTGCTTTGTAGAGAGGGGTTCTGCAAGGACTCTGATTTAATTAATATGACTTCAAAGCTCAACTTGGGTGTATTAAGTATTGAACAAGTCATTATAGAATGAAGTGATTTTATAATAATTTTTATTTTCTATTTAAAAACGCACTGATGTGGGCTAAAGAGTACAGTGTACTAGCAGAGAGCACAGTGGAAATGATACTGGAGATAACATCAAAAGAGCAGGACTGGGTCTCTGCCATTCACTACTGGTATAACTTACTGCAGGTTACTTTACCTCCCTTTCCTCAAGGTCTAGAGACAAAAAATTAAGTGGGAGAAATTGTTTTATAAAACTTAAATATACACAAAGATTAAATGGTATTTTAAAGGTAGAATAACAAGATACTATGTTTAAAGTTTTATCTAAGACTAAAGATTCTCTGGAATCTTTACATGCAGAAATTTGAGCATATGAAGTCTCAAAATCAAAAGGTGTCTTTGAGATCAGCTTTCATTTTAATGTCTTCATGTTACAATTGAAGAATCTTATGACCACGATACAAATGCATTGTCCAAATGTATGAGCTATATGTGTGTCCCTTTTCCAATAAAAAATAATTCTTTATACATTTATTACCCCAAGCATTACATTAATTACACATCTCAATTTGATGTTATGGAAAATATTTGCAATATTCTACATAAAAAAACATGAAGTTCTGAGAGGTTCTTCGCGCATTAAGGACAGAACTAAGGCAATACTCCGGCAACACACACACACTCCACAGCCTCATATATCCTCTTAATATACCTTTAAATGTGTTTTCAAAGCTATAGTCAGGAATTCATCATCAACATATTTTAATTTGAATATGTTTACAAAGTTAATATTTCTCAGGTTTGTTTTTTGTTTTTTGAGACAGGGTCTCACTATGTAGTTGAGACTGAACTGGAACTCACTATGTAGCCCAGGTTGGTCTCAAACTCACAGCAATCCTCCTGCTTCAGTCTCCTGAGTGCTGGGATTACAGGAGTGCACCACAATGCCCGGCTTCTCAGATTTTAAAATACTCTCTCCTAGAGAATATCACTCATTTAATTGCACCTTCTTTGCATCTACTGACTTTTTTTCTGGCCAGAATCCAGCCACTACATTATTTCCTATCACGTGCAATACACTGGTTTCCCAGGATACTCTATTCGTTTTGACAATCAGGAAGGTATGCCGAAGGAAATGGCATATCTAGAAATGCTACTGTGTTTGATGCTGTCTTTAAAAGATAGATCTCCAGGAACTAACTAATGTTTTTACCTGTGATTTTATATTATTTTCTACTGATGATTTGCATTAGTAGAGCTGTGAGAAATAAACTTCTGTTGTTTAAGCCCCCCCACCCCAGTCTATGGTATTTTATGTCAGCCTGAACTAGTTAATGTGTGGGTATTTCTGGGTATTAAGATATTTTTCAATTAAATTAGTGATGCTAGTCCAAGAATGCTGCCTCCTCCTCCTCCCCCCTCCCCCCCCTCTAGTTGCGAAACACAGATGCTATTTCCTAGTATTCAGAAGCAACTGAGTCTTAATGTGCCTTTCATTTGTTCTTTTTTCCCACTGTAGAACTGATGATGCATGGTTGGCTTTTCATTGTTTTGCTGAGGTTTATTTCCTTGCCTAGCACTTTTTGTTCATTAGACAACTACAGAGCACATGATAAATAGTCACCGGGAAAATAACACGTTAGATAAAAATGCAACAATGTGTTTCACACAAAATGAATGTCATCGATGCTTGTGTCTACAGTAGAAAATTTGAAAGATCCTTTGTATATTGGGAAAAAGCATCTTTTTTAAGACATGGGAAAGGACCATTTAACCTGTTTCCTAGGTGTTTAATGAGCAAAAGAATGATTAAATGTACATTTGCCACAGTCCTGATGGCTTTCTTGTACAAGCTCATAAGACGAAGTATGTACTTTCTTAATAACATGTAAGGTACTGAAATTTTGTCTTTGTCTCACTGTGTTCTCGCTAGAGTAGAATCTCTTTGAGATCAGGGATTTCATGTAGCTTGGTTTTCCCATCCCATCCCTGTAAAAGATTTTCAGCCCACATTTGTCATAGTGGGTTGCATAAAATATTCAGGAAATCTATTTTTACTAAGCCAGGCAATATAATTCCTTAAACATTGGAAAAACACTATTTTCTTCCTCTACTGCTCACACATCATGGCATTCCATTAATAGCACACATTAGATATCGATCTACCCAATTAAATTGAGTGTGCATAGATAGGCTCTTAGGAGAAATGGAGATTTTTGAGACAAGGTTGAAAAGAAGCACAGTGATTAATTTCTGGATTAATTTCATCAGTGAGAAAGTTTGAAAAGTAACTTCTGGCTGAAGAAATTGAAGTGCTAAACCAAGAATATAAAAACTGCAGTATAGTTAGCAGAGCATTTGCCTTTCCTCAAGAGTGAAACAAGGCACTAGATTAGATGTAAGTAGGACAACGAAAATACAGAGACGAAACGCCAGGGTGTCAGGGATCCAGAGAGAATTATTTCTTTTAAAGTAGGATGGTTTGCACTTATTTTTCTGAAATTATATATGATGATTTGATATTTGTAGGAACTTTTTTAATTCTTTAACCACGATTCTTTTTGAATTTTATTTTTAAAATTTATTTTGGTACCAGGGATCAAACTCAGGCCCTTGTGTTTGTGAGGCAGGTGGCAGCACCACTGGGCTAAATCCCTGGCCCCTGAGGATTTTTCTTTTTAAGAAAATTTAATGTTCTATCTTGAAATAATTTTAAATTAGATTTATAGAAGTGGTACAAAGATAGTATTGAAGTATAGTATATCCTCCCTCCCACTTTCCCCAATGTCTACATCTTACTTAATCACATACATGAATAAAAATAAAGAAATTAACACATTAATACTATTTATTGAACCATAAACTTTATCCATTTCCTCAGTTTTTGCATTGAGAAACTATTTGTAGTCCAGTACCGATCTGGTCATTTATTGTTCCTTTAGTTTCACTTTTGAGTCAGAAGGTTTATACAATACAGAGTCCTTATATCAAGTGGAGTAAATGTTTTGGCTATTTCCTGATTTTAAATGGTCTGTACTTACTGTTTATTCTCCATGTGCAGGAGCAGTCTAAATTCCAATTCTAAATGTGAACTCAACCCCTTTCTGCTCCTCTTTCGCTCTTCTCCTTCCTCCTGCTCTACTCTCTGTTCCTTGTTCTCTCTGAAGACACCTTGCCTGTGACAAGACAGTGACACAAATAAATCAGCTAAAATGTACAGCTTTCACTTTCCTTAATTTCGACCCTTAGAGAAAACACATTAGCACAAGTTGTCAAGTCAATCTGACAGACCTGATAATGTTATGTTTAATTTGTATTATAACATGAGCCGAATGAATCTTTTAATAATTTCTTGGGGTTTGGGATTGAGTAGAAACTTCCTGTCCTTCCCAATGCTTACCATTTAATATCATAACTATTTTCTGAAAGAAATAACTCTTTTCAGCTGATACATCATTAAGTGAAAATAAAAGATCTTATCCTATTCTCTGCATGAGAGAATGCTGGATTCCATAAATAAAGCTTTAGTGTGTCTATGTCCATAAACCACTAAAATTATACATAGAAAATTTCATTTATAAGTATTCCTTCCCCAAAGAAGAGGAGCCACAATACTCATCAAATTCTTAGAAAGTATCCTTGGAGTCCAAAAAGCTAAAAAAGCCATTTCTTTCAAGCAAGGAGTATGAGGACAACTACACCATCAGATAGTTTAACTTACAAATTTACTGCAAAAATTATTTGAACATCAAAATAAGCTTTAATTACCTTAAGTTCACTAAGAAAATGTTCTTTATTCAGGATTTCTATTCACGATAATAATTTAGAAACTTAAAATTCATTGCGATCTGTCTTTGTTTTAATAACTTTTTCTACCTTTGTGTTCTTTTTCAGATACATTCTTTCCTTGTTCCCTTTACTTCCAGGATCCTCTTCAGCATGCTATTATCTGTCTTGTCTCTGCCTTTCTCTGTTTCTGAAGCCATTCTCTCCTTCAATATTTCTGACCCTATTACTTTTCCCAAGACCACTTGCTGGGCATTTTTCCTCTGCCTCCTCCATTCTCTTTCCCATACCTCTGCTGTCTTGAAGGAAGTGCTCTGGCTAACGAGTTTTGTTACCATAGGGACGGTCAGTTCCAACAGCATACCAAAAACACAAGTCTGGCAAAAACATTAGCGGGTCCCTTTTGTGGACTCTCTTTAAAAGAAAGCAGGCCACATCCTTGGGTAGAGTTAGAAATTTATAGCATGGAACTAAATGTAAAGAAAACACTCTTTTCATTTGCGAAGGCTTACTTTACATAGTCATTGGAAGGGGTAAGATAGATGACTGGGGAAAAGAGGAATGGGAATATGCTTCTCACCGTTCATATTTAGACAAACTGCTCTCATACTGCTCCCCATAGTATAGGATAATTTTATTTTATTACAAGTCTGCTGAAAATCCTTCAGCCATTTTGAGAATAATTCCAAACTGCTTGGTGGGGCTTCCAAAGTTTCTAATGCCCCTCACAGCCTACCTCTTACACTTAACTCCTGATTGCACATCACCTTTTACTCTACCATATTGAATATCTTTTTATCAGTCTTTCACTCCCTAATCATTCTTTAGCCATTCTGATTCTCTCAATGACCAAAAAGATCACTTTTCCATTTTGCCTTTATTATTTTATTAATTCTATCCTTCTCAACATGAATGATAATTCCTTATATATGAGATATGAGGGTCAGGATGTGAAACAATTTTGATCTCTAAATTGAGAATTAAAATTTAGATGGTTCAGGCAGGAGCGTTGGAAGAGTTATCAAATTTATGAGGTGAAAGGAGTGATGGCTGGAGAGGGAAAAACTGAGCCACCTGCTAAAGGCATTTGAGCAAAGTGCAAAGATGTCCTGGGGAATTAATATACCACAGAGCGAGGAATCTGCTTTGATGTGAGATGGACATAGATTGCCATTGACAAGTTATTCCAGAGCTGCCAAATCAGGGACAACTATTGCAATAACATTAAAACAAGCCTGGCTCTGATCTTTAGGCCTAACATTCCACCTCCAATAGAATTTCAGCTATGTCCAGATGGAGCTTAACAGTTACAGTCAGAACTAATGTAGTTTCAGTGGCACAAAATAAAAGAGTTGTGGCAATAAACAGAATGTAATGATTGAATGCTTTAAAGTGTGCATTAGAAAAAAATAGTCATTCTGTAGACGGAACTCATAGATGATCAATATTTAAAAGAGAAAAAGTTGGCAGGAAAGGATTTACCCTATTGATGATTAAATTCTGCAAATCTGTCCTAATTCAAACCTCTAATCTAATTTGCCTGAATAAACTTCTTGTTTTTACACCTCCAGTCCAACATGTATAGACTAGCACATAAATTCCACTTAAAAGGATTAAACATACAAAAAAGGGGAATTTCTAACTCATTAAAAGTTAGAAATCCTCCCTGTAAAGATCTGTAATTGATCTTTAGCTAGTGAATAGTTGGGTTGGCTTTAGCTCAAGTGGTTACCTCCTCACACCGGACTTCTCGTATAGCTAGTGAATAGTTAATGCACCCCCCCAAGTCATATTTAACAGCTGTTCCAATAACACATGAAAAGTGAAATGGGTTATTTAACTACCACATAGGTTGGGATACCTAGCAAAGCAAAATTGTGACATTAGTTTCATGTTTACATCACATTTTTGATGTTTAATTAAAACACTAACAAATATATATTAAACACAACAAGACACTAACTTCTGCCCTGATGAAGCTTGACAATTTGTAAGAAAAATGGATATTAAGGTCATTGGTTCATCAATCACAGTGCCACTCAGTGGTAAGAGGAGAAATATCTTTAAATTCTTTTGATCTTGTGGGATCCAGGCTAGATTAGCCCAGTTTTGCAACATCATGAACTATGTGAAATTGAAATTGTCTTTTTATTTTTTCCAGTTGCCACGTGTAAATTCCATTGCTTTTGAAATTATAATGTAGTTAAAATTCTTTTTCAGTATTCCATGTTTGAGTTCTGTTGCATAGAAGAATTACCTCGGCTGGAAGGGATGCCTCCGTATGTAAGCACCCAAATACCTACTTTGTGGTGCAGGTTGCTAACAATGTATGAGCTCCAAATCTCAATGTGCTAGGAAAACGATTTAACAATTCTTCCTCATCTGAAATCCAAGAGGCACATTATCCTCACTTATCAGAGAAACGCACTTCTAAATGGCTTTTCTGAGGTCTGTCTTGAGTTAGTGACAGAAGGACTTGAATCTGTGTGCCTGATGTGTCAAGTTTTTATTAACTTTTCTCAGACCATCTTTCCTTTCAAGAAATATTATCTCTGATTCCCAGAATGAACAGAGGGATCTAACTGACCCCAAAGAGCTTTCCAGATACTACGTACCACAGAGACAACACTACAATGAAGCAAAAGGAAAATGTAAGCATTCTTGTGTGCTAATCATTCACTAAACAGAGAGGCACTCAATTTAGGACTAGATTAGACTTACATGATTTTAAATAAATAATTCTCTGAGTATCTTGGCACAGAGGCAGTCAAAAAAAGCTGAGAGGGTGTGGATTGATTTAGGAAGAAACAAATTGGAAATTTACTGTGATCTGATGAGAAAAGAAAAGTAACTGAAGCAAAACTCACATGTGAACTATGGGATCTAGCTAACAGTGCTACCAAATCACAAAGCAGAAAAATGTGTCCTAAGGTTGATAAATGGATTAAAAAAATATACCAGAGCTCGAAGGCAAAATTGGAGGAACTCTATGGGAACCTTCAGAAGCCACTCAGAGAAAAATGTCCCTTTCAACCCTGGGAAGATTGCCTAGCTGAGAGTGGGAAGTGTTCCTGGCTAGAAGCCTGCACAAAGGTTTGGAAAGTGTTGGAGGAAGGATGAGACACAAGCAAGACTAGAGATTGAGAGCCTTGGACCCGGGAGTCTTTTAAAACACACAAAGAAGAAAGTGGAAGGGAACACTTCACAGTTCCAAAGAGCTCAGGGTGAACTAGAGAAGGCCAAGGGAACAGCGGTTCTTGGAGCTGATGGGGGGAGATAACTTGTAGAGGACAAACTGTTTTGGCTACAATTTCACCTCGAGTTTCTGGTATTTACACAAATTGCTGAAGTGACTCCCAGTTTAATAGAAATCCTTGGTAGGACTGGTGCCACATGATTCAGTTTCTCTCTAGTTATCTGTATGCAGCACACTGTTTCCTATAGAGAAGGGAACATTGACTTTTTAAACATCACAGAAAGATCACACTTTTCAACTGTAAATATAATGTCTTTTAAACAACTGTCAAAACTTTATTATTGGAAAATCAATTTTACATTTGGTCTCCAACAACAAATTAAAGCTGTGCAGCAAAAGGCTTTCAGAGCACTCTAGTGTGTTTTCTTATTCTGCAGACCAGGCATTCTTCCAGAATCTTTATCCATCTCCTTTCCTGTTCCCTCATCTATTGACCATATCTAGTTGAAAGTTATACTTCCAGCATTACTGTACTATTTACCTCCCTGAAATAAATATTCCTATCTCTTTAGCATGAGACCTAATAGCTGTTTCATAAAGGTTTTAAAAGAGGTTTTCCGAATGATTAATGATGTTCAGCATCTGTTCATGCCACCACACACTGAAGATGGAGTGCCGAAGTTAAAAGATAATAACAACACTTTTTTCCCCTCATTGAGTTTATTGGTACATTTTAGGTATACAGTACAGTTACATTCATTATTGGGATCTTGTACCTTTACATGACAGGTCTTGGTTCTCATTTTTTACCCTTGTCCCTGCCCTCACTTCACTTTTTAAAAAGCAACCAACAACAACAAAAAACTGGCATGATCAAGTGTTGGTAAAGATGTGGAGCCCTTGGGGCTTTCAAATGTTGCTCATCTGGATGCTTAATGGCATTGTTTGCCAGTTCCTTATGCAATTATATCTACACCTACAGGTGTCATGGAAATCCCATTCCTAGGAGAAATTCTTCATTCCATTGCTTAGAGAAATGAGCACTTAGGTTCATATAAAAACCTGCACAAAAATGTTGAAGCCCCATACTCGTAATCACAAACTGGAAACAAAACAGCAAACTTTGAATGATCAAAGAACATTAAATTCATACAATGAAGCATTACTCACCATTAAACAGGAACACACTTTTGGTGCATGTGAAAACATGAATGAACTCTAATTGCATATTGACAGGTAAAATAAGCCAGTATAAAAATGTTACACACTGTATCACTGATTTATAGGATATTTTGTAAAAGGCAAAACTACTGTGACAGAAAACTGATCAGTGGCTGTGACACTGTCACAGTTACTTACAGGTGAGGTAAGAGTATGACTATAAGAAGTCACACTAAGGAATATACTGGTTACAAAACTGTCTTCGTGCTGATTGTGATGATGGTTACATGAGTGTTGGTGCGTCTTGAAACTCATGGAGCTATATATGCATCAAGAATAGGGGAATTTTACATCATGCAAATAACAAATAAATATTAAATGTTGAAGGAGTTTATCTTTACTAAATTAAGTAGAAATGGCCTTCACCCAGATTAACTCCTTAATTGGGTATTCACACCTATCTAAATTTAAACATTCTATTTTAAAATGCTAAGTTAGGGCCTTAGAGAGTTTGTATGCACAAGGAAATTATTATAAAATATTATCACAAGACATTAAAAAGGAATTAAACAAATGGCCATGCTCAATGAATGGGGAAACTCTATATCATAAATGTCACTTCCTTGCAAATTTAAGCATTCTATTAAATTCCAATCATAATCCCAACAGGTGTTGTTTTGTTTTACAAAAAGATAGTAAAATTTGTATGGACAAAAAGGAACCAAGAGAGCTGAAATAGTTTTGAATAAAAATACAAAGGAGGGTGTGATGTACTGCAAAAATCCCTCTCTGGGCCAGGGATATATCTCAGCATGGGCCAGGGATATATCTCAGCAGCGCAGCACCCATATGAGGCCCTGGGCTTGATTCCCCCTACCAAAAAGAAAAGTGAAAAAAAAAAAAAAAAAAAAA